GTAATTCTGTGAACAAAACATGAAACGAGAAGGCTTAGTCGATTGATTCGCCCGTTCTGTTGTTTTCCTTGAGTTTGTTGATAACTTTCTATTCGTTTTCTGCGTTTTTTCTTTTGTCTTTGAATTTTTTGGACTGGTTGGTTTCTGTGAAAGACGTAGTCATAGTAACCTTGAAATGATCAATTGATTTATGTTCCATCAAATTGGATTAAAAATCTCTGAGTCTGGTTTAAATGAGATGTTGTCATTGCGTTTACATCGATGAATGTACTAGACAAAAAGCATTTCCACTAGAAAGAAAGAGATAGCAGCTAGAAGAAGAACGCAATGCTTAACTGATCTTACTTTTATATTTAGGTTTTGGCTTGGAAATCTTCTCGATTAATTTTTGAATTCTAGAATCTCATTGTTTGATCTCTTCGATTTTTCTATGTTAGCTCATTCAATTAACTCGCTCGTTTTATAGTTTGAGTTTCGTCCTGGCTCTCGATTCGTTTTCTGCGTTCCTTCAGTTTCTTTTTTATAATTTTACTGATTCTTATACTTTAAAAGAGGTAGTTAGATAAAGTAAAAAATGATTCAGCAGACGTTATTCCGTCGATTTCGGATTAGTGCGCATTTTGGTTCAGTTGAGATGTTACCATCACCTCTACATCGATCGATGCAATAGATGAAATCAAAACGTCCATCTCATTTTTTTTTACTGTGTTTCCCTCATGTGCTCGCGGATTATTCGAAAGGCTAGCCCTAATTAAATTCTGGATTCGTTACAATTTTGACAGTTGATGGACTGAAATGCAATTTCATATGCTAATTCATTACGAAATGAACAGGTTACAAATCCAGATGGATCGGTGGATAGAACCATCGATTACTTTATCCTATCTTGTTTCTTTTCCCCGTATCTGCTGATGACCTCTGTTTTCATATAAGAAAATGGGAGTTGAGAAAGAAGGTTTGAAAAGTGGTGTTGGGGGATTCTTCCAGTTGTTTGATTGGAGTGCTAAATCGCGGAAGAGATTGTTCTCTAGCACACCGGACGTACAAGGTACTATATCAATTTCTGAAGTGCAGTATATGCATGTATATATATTATATTGTCTTTGAACTACACCTTTGCTTCTCTCTGCAGAGCGTTTTAGACAAGGGAATATAAGTGCTGGAAACTCTCCATTTTCACAGGTTCATCTGGTAAGTGGAGCACCATTTGTATTTTGATTTCTTTTCCGTTTGTCTGGATTTCTGGTTGATTCCTTCGAATATTTCCAGATAGATTTGGATGAATGTGGAAAAAGGAAAAGTATTAAAGGAAGCAGTGATTATAGTTGTTCTTCATCTGTGACTGAAGATGAAGGATACGGAGTTAAGGCCCCTGGGGTAGTCGCTAGGCTTATGGGATTAGATTCATTACCGTCATCCCATTTTTCAGAGCCCTACTTTGCCCCATCATTTGATACTCAGTCTCTTCAAGAAGCTCACAGTCATAGGGGAAGTTTCAATTATGGTCATGATCGCCAAATCATGTTCTCTGGTAATTTGCTTGATCAGGTTGATGACCGTGCAGCTGCCCCTGCCAGGAAACCTTCAGAACCAAAACCTCAGAAAACTCTCAGCAGGCCAATAGAGAAGTTCCAAACAGAAGTCCTCCCTCCTAAATCAGCAAAATCAATTCCAATTACTCACCATAAGCTTTTGTCCCCTATTAAGAGTCCTACTTTCATACCAAGTAAGAATGCTGCTCTCATAATGGAAGCTGCTGCAAAAATAATAGATTCTGGACCTTCAGCAACTACCAAGAGTAAAATGTCTCTGATTGGATCTTCTTCAGCACCTTTGAAATTACAAGCTCCAAAAGAAAAGATAAATATACCACAAAGACTGCCTTCAGTTAGGTCCTCTTCAGTTAGCTTGAAGGTCAAAGAATTAAAAGAAAGGACCGAAGCCTCTCATAAATCAACCAGGTTTCTTGAAACTTCTAGAAAGCCTACTGAATCAAATGCTTCCAGGCTTTTGAAGGGACAATCTATGAACAAAAGCTGGGATGGATCTCAAGATGCATCATCATTCAAGGTCTTACCTGATGTGGAACACGGTTCAAAGAACAAGGGAAAATCCATATCACTTGCAATACAAGCAAAAGTTAATGTACAAAGAAGAGAAAATGTGAATACCGATGGCCATAGAAATTTTACCGGCCCGAAACAACAGACTGAGGTCAAGTCAAGCCAGCCCTTTAAGACACAGACAAACACTAGGAAAAATCTGCATGTGCAATCCTCTGCTTCCAATGCTTCTTGTAAGCAGCCTCTCAAGCAGAACAACCAGAAACAAAACTGCCATGTTGATAGAGTAAAATCAAAGAACTCATTTTCCAACACTGAGGGCCAAAAACCGCTTACTGGAGATTCGTCTTTTGGACGTCGAAGAAATGTAGGACGAGTTGTCGTTGGCTCAAGAGTTGGTGTCAGGAAGTCAGCCTTAGAAACATCTGACAGGGAAAAGGAAGACTTGCATTCTAATGCAAAAAATCTCCCTAGGAAGAAACGGTCAATAGATAGAGATCAACGCTTTGACAAGAAACAGGCCACGGAGAATATGTTAAATGATAAAAACCAGATGTCAGTTCATTCAAATAATATTGTTGATAGAACTTCTAGTAGTTTGGCTCAAGAATGCAGAAAAAATGGCACAGATGTTGTTTCTTTTACATTTACTGCACCACTTACAAGGAAGGCGCCTGGATCTGACACTTCAGGGCACATTGAATCAAAATTTAAAGGGTCGCTTGGACCAGATAGTTTGAAGTCATCCTCAATGGAGTGCAATATTATTGGAGAAAATGCCTTGAGTGCACTTTTAGAGCAGAAGCTAAGAGAATTGATTGATAAGGTCGAGTCCCCTAGCCTTGGATCCATCGTTGGAGGATCTGAGAGTTCTTGTTTATCGACGTCTGATTATCTTTCACACTCTCTTGATACACTCGATACAATGTCGTCAGAGTTGAATGAGAGGAACCAACACAGTAGTTCTGTTCACAGCAAGCCGGCTGGCCAATATAATTTTGATTGCGCTTCAACTGATTCTTTGTCACAAGGATTAAAGCATGAATTCCCGGTATGTGAACTTTGTTTTCATCTTCTTGAAGATTCATTTGTTAATTTCATTCAATTCCAGGGACAAGCAATTGTTAATTATAGTTCTTCATGATTGTTGCCTTTAAATATCCTTGATATGCTAAAGATCATCTATTTGTTCTGGAACATCGTTTTTTCAGTTAGTTGATGAGATTGAAGAATGTAGCAGCAGTAATAGTATTGTTCCTCACACTGGGCAGTCGCTCAAAGTTCGACATCCGAGTCCCGTCTCTATTCTTGATCATTCGTTTTCTTCAGAAAGCTGTGACTCATCAGATAGTAACAGCAGAGAAGGTAGAGGATTTTTATGTGCTAAGAAAAATTTACTCTTGTTTGCATTACCCCAAGTTGATCATTCGTTCTGAATCTTCCAATTTACAGGTAACAAGCTTTGTTCTTCAGTCCAAGGTCAAGATGTTCTTGGCATAGGTTTCTTCAAGTTTAATCCAGTTACTGTTGATACAGAGTTACTAGATTCTGCATCCTCCATAACAGACGAAGCTTCAGCCAGTAAGTTCACTGCTTCATCTATCTCGAAACGTACAAAACGACAGATCGAATGGGAACTTGAATACATAACGGATATACTCAGCAATGTGGAGTTGATGTTTAAGGACTATGTATTGGGGCGTTCTCATGAAGTTATAAATCCTTATCTATTCAATATATTAGAGATTCGAAACAAAGGATCGGGACAAAGCTGCGACGAATCGAGGCTTAGAAGGAAGGCGTTATTTGATTGTGTTCGTGAATGTTTGGACTTGAGATGTAGACAGTATGTAGGTGGAGGATTTAAAATGTGGGAGAAAGGAGTGGGAGTTTTGGGAAGAAAGGAGCAGTTAGCCAAAGAGGTTGTGAAGGAGATTTCAGATTGGAAAGGAATGGGGGATTGTATGGTGGATGAACTGGTAGATAAGGACATGAGTTGCTGGTATGGAAGATGGATGGACTTCGACATTGATGCGTTTACGATCGGAGTCGAAGTCGAGACTCAAATTCTCGATTCTTTAGTTGAAGAAGTGCTTGCTGATATTGTGCTTCCTTGAATTAAACTCAGCCAACCATATTTTCCAGGTATTCTCTTCCCCCTCTTAAACTCTAAGGCAAAAGGTCATGTGTTCAAACTTCTGCAGCGTCGTTTCATCCCTCCTATTTAATGTTGATATTCTCTTGTTGGGATTTTTACAAATTTTTAAGGCCACAAGCGAGCAAAAATATTAAATTTTCAAACCCTATCTAGTGAAGCTTCGGTATGGATTTGTTGAACCAACACCATTTGAAAGTGGATCATCTTTAATAAGTCATCAAATTAAGTGTTTTTTTTTTTTTTTTTTTTTTTTTTTTTTTTTTTTTTTTTTTTTTTTTTTT